AGGGAAACATCATAATCTGCACTAATAACAGAATATTTATTTAGCCAGACAACTGAACATACTGAAGGTAGTAATGTATGGGAATTCTTCTTTAGTTATTGCTCTCTTAAAGGAAGTAAAGTGCATATATACCAAAAGGTGTGCCTTTGCAAACCTTTGTGCAGTGTCTCACTGTCGCTAGTCATATGAACAGCAGCATTGTCAGAGCACTTCTACGTGGAAAGCATTACACTAAACCAACAACTCCACCCTTGTGTAAGTAGATATCAGCCCATTTTTCACAAAGAATGTCAATGGAAAGCAACGCATGTGGGTGGAGAAAAAAGACAATATAGCACAGGAGATTAAAGGGCAAAACACAGGGAAAAGTCTTGTATGGTTGAAAATTCAGGTTTATTTTCTTTGGTTGCCACAAATTCTTGACATTTTATTTAAAAAATATAAATAACGAGCGATGAATTGCAAATTAGTGCTGTTAAACATACTCTTCTAAATAGAAGAACTGACAGTGAAGTTCCTTTAAATTAGTCGCACCACATTGTTAGAATCAGAGCAGTGAAGGTGTGCAGAATATTGGCCTACAGAAATGACAGACAAGCTTAGAATACACAGTCTGTCAATTCATAGGTCATTTTCCTGCACAACAGTTCTCATTAATTTTATACAGTAGTTCTTTGTGTTTCATCTTTGGCTGGTTGTTATAAATTATAGTACAGAGCACAAATATGATATATAATGCATTTTGTGCCTTTTTTCCTATAAATGAGCAACTCTGGTATTAAAACAAAATAATCCAAAGAGCTGTCATCTAAAAAAAACAAAACAAACTATTTACATGAGTGTTTAGCGAAGTTTCAGTTGGCAGCTGCTCCATGTCTGTGAGTGGCTGTCAAAAGTAACAGCATCTCCACTGGAAGTCAGCGTAGTCCACATGGAGTTGCTGTTACATTTGAAAGTACTGCTGGTCAGTCTTGAACGATTCCTCGTGCTTATTGCATCTAAATTATTTTTATTAAAATAGTTGTATTAAAATAAACCAGTAGTCATTACCATACAAATCTGGACGTGCCCACAGCCTACCATTTTTTTTAAGTCCACAAAGGCTTTCGTTTGCCTCATATGCCTCAATGGATTGAGGATTTAAGAGATTTGCACATCTATCTTTAGTTTTAACTTGAACATCAAGAACTAGATTCTCATCTTGAATGCGTTTATGTTCTAATACCAGCTCTCGCTTCAGAATCTGTTTGTTGTCAGTCCTGTGTGACTTGCAGCCATTTTGGGTGTACAGCCCCAAGCTCATCATCTAGAATTTAAAATTGGCCTCAATTGCTACAAACTCTTTTGACTAAAGAGAATCCTACCCAATGTTTTAATTGCCGCATGTTTAAATCATGAGCTAAAAGGTTCCTGTAAAACATCAGTTTTCCACATCCTACATGGGAGAGAGGGAGAGAAGAAAAGTTATTCACTACATTGCCATTTTCAGATAAGGATTTTGAGAATACAAGCAGTAGAAGTCTGCATGTAATTAAAAAAAAAACAGAAAACTTGAATTAAGTAATTGACTGTTTCCTACACAAGCTTTTTGAAGTAAATATTGTTAATTAGACTTCTTGACATTTTGAAGGAGCAACACCATCCTGGGGATTAAGTGGGGTTTTTTTGTTGGATTTTTTTTTTTTTTTTTTAAAGAAAGCCAAAAACAAAGGCTAAGATTTAGAATAGGAGCACATATCAAACAACAGATATGATGTATGCAATTTGGAGAATATTTAATTGCTACTTAGCTGTACTGATTCATTTTTTCTAAGTATTGATATTGTTATACTATGCTATAATATACTGAAGTCTTAGGTATGTTCTCTCTCCTTTTATTATCATTAATTACCAATTAATTTTGTTGTCATTTGCACATTACACAGAAAATCAAGTTACAAAGTTACATGCAAGATTACAAAGTACATTTTATTAACTTTCCTGTATGGGGTACTAAAAGCATTTCAGGAAGTTAACTTCAGAAACTTACCTCTTGCCAAGTACTGTCTTGTAAATTGATCCTCTATATATATATATATATATATATATATGCATGCAAAAGAGAATCTATCTCATACTCCTTTTTGTTGTATGGAGAGAGAGAGAGGACCAAGAACTGTTTTCTTCTTCTAGCAATCCTCTTAATACTGCTTAATTTCCGATAACACTAAATAAGCATTCAGCACAATCAATATCAGAGTTCAGAATGATTGGCTGGTGTCATGGTAGCGTGAACTACCTCATGGTTTTTCACTGTTTAAAAAAAATCTAGCAGTTGACACGTAATGCAAGTTCTTTTAGATACAGTGTTTGGATCTAGGGCAAAGTTTTACAATGGGGTTGTAGCTCATTCTCTGAATTATGGCACTCATTACAGCATATGGATTGCAAAGTGATAAGTAGCTATATGAGGAAGGTGGCAACTTGCAATATTGGGTTATTGTGTTTTGCCTTCGTTTTTTTTAAGATTCTATATACAATGCATTCTCTGTAAATATATCAGGAAGAACACTCTTGTCCTTCATAAAGATCTTGAGGAAAAGTCAAAAGTGCCTTTTTAAGATCTGTGAAGAAGGGAAAGGTTAAGTGTAACTGTATCTTTGGAAACTTTGGCATCAACTGCAGAATCCTTTTTTAAATGCTTGATTGTACATTACTTACATTTTCCTAAAAAAAACGTTTAAAGAATGATAAACTTGAAATTGCTGAAACTTCATAAATATTTTAATTTGTCATAAATTGAGATACTGGTCAACTATTAGTAAATCTGTCAATATTTGACTACTCTTATTTTCTACAATTATTATTTATCAGATTATTCTGGTTATGTTATACTCTTAATCCATGCCAGCATCAGGAAAAAATTAAATCTTACTGTATATGAATAAACCATGTAAGCTTCTGTTCCATAGCATTATG